TTTTTTTGTGAAATGGTATATACTGCAATTTATCTTCATCCACAAACTTATATTGATAATTTACATATACTTCTTTTCCAGTCAATTTAGCTGCACTTGGAAGTTGATAATCCTCAATAACAGTACCAGTTAAAAAATCATACTTTTTAGAGAAATAAAATCGATCTGGTCCATCAGCAGACCAAGCTAAAGGATCTAGAATATTAGTTATAAAAGCCACATAACATTTACCGTAAATATCGTCATATTGTACTCTGAACTCTTCTTCTGACCAATATAACATGTTCATATCGGCATTTTTATAATTATCATCCATTGGGATTTGTTCAGCTCTGTACATACGTCTTACAATAATTTTAACATTTTTCTTATCCCCCTCAACAATATATATGGCTAAAATTTCAGCTATTTCAAAGGCATCAGGGGTAGTTTCATTTGAGCCTCGCATAATGTTTTCTATTGTTTTACGATAATATTCTGGATATTTAGTTTCATCAACATTTTTTAATATTTGATTATTTTTATTTTTATTTGAGGCAGGATATTGTAATGATTTATATTCAGTGAAATTACATCTTGCTGCTATCGAGAATATACCAGGTTTTAGATAAATAAAATTACCAATTTTATATTCTTCATTTTGAAATTTTAATTTATAGTAATATGTTATACCACTGTCCTTTTCAATAAACTCAAGTAATTCTGGAGTTTGTAATTTTTTTTTAAAAAAATTATCTTCACAATTTTTACAATATTTATCTTTTTTATCATTATTTGATTCTTCTGGGTATTCAAATTTTCCAAACTCATCATCATATTGTAACTGGTAAAAAAATGATTTTTTATTATTTCGATTGACAGGTTCTAAAAGTTCTTGTAACTTAGAACCACCAAGATTAAACCAATCTTTCCTCGGTATTTTTTGAGTGACATCTAATATTTTAACTATATGAGTAAGATCAATGTTCATACACTTTTTGAGAGAAAATATTTCTTGAGGATCTGAAGCTTCTCCTAATACAGTTTCATAACTATGCATAAATAATGTTATGTGTGCTTTGTCTTTCAAGTTTTTTTTATACAAATATTCTATGCGACCAATTAACGGTATGGTTAAAAACTGATTTTTTACAACCACAAAAATTTGTTTTCTTAAGGGTTCATAATTACTTTTTCTACTTTCATTATTGTACATGGAAAGTAATACATTTTTAATTTTTTCACTGAAGATATCAGTAAGTAAATTCTCAAAAATACTTTCTCTTTTTTTCTTCAGTTTTCTTGTTTTCATCTAACTGAGCAGCAAATATATTTTCAAATACATCTTTCACTAATTCTGTTGTAGTGGCTTTACTAAACTCACGTTGGGTAATATTAGTTTTTAAATACCTCTTTCTTCTCTTTGCTTCTAATAGTTCTTTAGAGTGATAATTATTTTTTACAGCTCCTGAAAGTTCAGTCAATGTTTCAATACATTGTGTATCGCCTAATGGTAAATGATAGAAATCATTTAAATCATAATCTATTACTTGGTCGAGTACAAATTGTGCATGAGCAATTAAATCTTCTTCTGTAAAATTAGTACCACTTGTTGGATTTACTGAGTTTACTACATAATTCAAAATATCTTCATATGTTGGATTATCAGATTCTTGATTATCTAATATTGTTTCGATAACTATTTTACTTAGATGTATTTTTTCAGTTACAGAAGTCATACATGTTTTATAATCAGGATGGGGTTCTATTAATAAGTAACCAGCATAATCAGTAGTGATACCTATTAATGGATGAGATCCTCCGTCATATGATGATAACCACCACTCCAAAATAGGTCCTAAATGTTTAGCAGCAATTCCTTCTACTCCACCTGGTCCATGGTCATAAATCGGTTTTACATAGCCACACACATATAATGGAACATTTCTTTCCATAACTCCTGAATCAATTGAACACATGTGTCCATTATCATCATATATACAATAATTGATCAAGTTATGATGTATCACATCTAATTTGTCCGTGTAAACATTTGCCAAAACCTCACTTGATAATACAATGCACTCGAGTTTTGCATCAACAGGTAATTCCACACATTTTGGTTTAATTTGACTGCATAACTCGCACTGTTTCTTACCTTTCTCCTCGTCAACAACGGTAAATACCATGTGTTTCGGGTCCTGTTCTGGTTCTGAGGATTCTCTAACTTGAAGTTGGGCAACAGTATGTTTATTCATTGTACAAAATTCTATAACATTAGGTACTATATTTATACAATTCTTAAATATAATGCAGTAATTTTTAATTAAATATCCAATTAAATTTACCAGATCTGTTGAGAATGCGAATTTGAAATTTTTTTGACTCCTTAACAAGTGAAACTTTGTGCACAACAATTAAATGAAAATCATAAATCGTAACGCAAGAAAAATGATCTATTACACAGGCATAAATATTATAATAAAAAAGCGTACAGCACCACTGCGTGCTTGCGCAGTGCGTATGTGTTGTTTAAAACGTGGCCGACAGACAACCGTTGACAAGTGTTGGAGGTTCGACATGAAACCCAGTTCGTTAACCGCTTAGGTGAATCGTGACCACAATCTTATCATATAATTGGTTATTACTGGGCATCGAGATGGATAAACAATACGATACAATACAATAATATTGTTTATCTACTCGATGTTACTGGGTTACTTAGGTATCTGTGAAGCCGGGTTCTCACTACACCGTGCCGTGTCGTGTCTTCTAAAATAATTATCTCTGATTGGTTGAACCATATTGTTACATTAAGGTATACCGTATAATAAAACACAAATTGCCTCATTAACCATAACATACCGTGAAGTTGATTTTATCCAACTTTTGAACGTGTGATTACCGATTTTATAGTAATAATTGAATATTCTATGATAACATTATTCATAATAACAAAGGGCTCAGAAAGTGTTGCATTTGCATGATTTTATTGGGCTATTCAATTTATTGCTAAGTAACCTTGAAAATATTTTCATGACACTATGAAAAACCTAATGAGAACATTTTGAAAGAAAATTTCAAATTTCAAGCTATTTATTTTACTTATATTTTATTTTATCTTATATATTTATACCTAGAAATTATGTTTAGCTAAGTATAATATACTTACAACATTTGTACTGTTATGTACGAGATTATTTAACAAAATATCTTTATTTATGTACAATTTTTGCGTTAAAAAAATTAAGTACATATTTGTACTTTTTTAAGCGCATAAGTGCATGCATATTTAGTACTTTTTAAGTGCATTATGTTCCGAGCCCTAATAATAATATAATACATACTTTCTACCTTATAATTTAATATTCATCAGTTATTATTTATTGAAACTTATGAAAATATTTCACATCTAATAAAAAAACTGATAAAATATGTAACAAAAATTTGATAGTATCACCATAAGATATATATTGGTATCACACATTTTCAAAGCACACGGTCTGGTAAAATACACGTCATGGTGTAATGTGAACCCGACTTAATGGCCATTTGTTTATCGTTTATCATGATTCTTCGACCACCGTCCCGGTTTAAAATAGTCTATCGTTTATCGTGACCACGGTCAACGATTATGACCCACACTATTAGCCGAACGCAAGCAAACGCGAATCTGGTTGATATGGAATTAATCGTTGGCCTAGGTGAACTATTCAGTCGTTCATCGTTCATTAAATGAACAAGTTCAGAGAACTCGTTCATCGTTCATATTTATTATAAATTGTTCATATGTATTACTTGTCATTCATCGTTCTCCGTATCGACTATGTACGATATGGGGAACTAATCATTCCCATAAATGAACGATTCAGTGATTCAGTCGTTTCATCGTTCATATAATGTGGTGCCAGTGTAGCGTGCGATCTACCGCTTACATGTGCTCTACCTGTGATCTACCCATTACTATCCAGTTCTTTATCGGTAATTTATCGTTAAAGACGTAAACGATATATTTCGTCTCCGATAGCCGATAACAATTTAGTGTGCTTTCCGACTTCGACGAAGCATGAGACGACGTAGTCCCTTTAATTTTAAGAAACTTATATTATGCGGATATGATTTTGAAATTGTGATTTTTAAAACGAAACTTTTATTTGAAATATTTATTAAAGGAAACTTAAATTATGTGGATGTGATTTTTAAATTGTGATTTTTGAAAAACGTGTGAGCCCACCTCCTCGTGGTGTATTTAGTAAGAGTAAACTAAGCGGTTCACAAATCGCGTTCACCAAAAACAGGCTGGTAGTCTAACCTACCAGTGGTAGATCACACGCTACACTGGCACCTATTATGTAATATATTGTAAACCGTAGTGTTCATAGTATATGAACATGAGATGGTTTTGAAGATGTATGTTCATATTTCAGGCGTTATTATTATTATTTTTATATATTTTTATATAAAAATAAATGTATATGTTTTTAACTAATGTAGTTAAAAAAAAATCTGATTGAAAAAAAATTAAAAATGCAATTTATGCGTATTTTAATTTTTAAATAAACACGAAAGACCTAATCTTGATGTTTTTTGGGAGGGAGGTCATAACCCTCATTACCGCCCTTGGATCCGCGTCTGGTTGAATCTATATTATTTATGGGAACACTTTGAAAGTAAAGTTTCAAAAATCAAAACTAATTTATCTGCTGACATTTCAACTTCACTGATGCTCCGTCAATAACCAGAAATCTCCTACTTAAGTAATACCAAATGTCCTCTGCAATTTTGGAGTTAACACGAAAATATATTTCCAGAACTTTATAATTTTCAACTCATATATTTGCGTGTCCAGCGACTTACGGCCCTTCCGAACACGTGTTTTCGAAAACAGTTCAGATGACAAAATCTCCAAAATCTACTTCATCCTAATAGTTTAAATAATATTATTTTTTTAAATAGTAATTCAATTTTAATGAATTAACTTTATATTCAATGTTATTCAAAATGTTATAATTTTTTATATTTTATTTTATTATTAAACGTAAATTTTGTATTTTGTGTTTTTTTATTTTATTTATATAATTAATATAAAATTTAATTAAATTACAATGTTCGATAAATATTTATGAAAATCAAATGATTTTGGGCAATTATGTAATTTTAAAGTTTTTGATAAATTTATAACACACAATTTTTTCAAATAATTGGATTAATTTGCTTTTGATAAAAAGTCTAATATCATTATTTTGATTATCAAATTCATTCTATTACTGAATTAAATCTATAAGTACTACCAATTTTTGATTAAACTGGTACGTGCAATCGACTCTGTCGGAATTTTGGATGGAAATAGTTTTAAATGAGCACAATAAGAATGTGAGGTTTTCTATATAAAAATACTTATACAGGTTTACCAAAAACGGGACAATTAGCGTCCCGCGGATACGCATCGTGCTAAGTGTGGTCTTTTACAAAAGATTTTTTATCGGCCCGCAGCTACCCGCACTACTACCATAGACCTTATACTCATAGACGGAGCATGGGTATAGTTCCAGCGGTTAGACGTGAGTGAGCTGTTCGACTATTACTCAATTACTACGCACATGCGCAATAAAATTTCAGGTTGGGCAATCGGTTGTTGTGTTTTAAAAATCATTGTATGATAACGGATTGATAAGATTACTTTTTTTTTTTTTTTTGTCATACATATTTGATTGACCAAACGGGGCATTCATCAAAACTTATACAGATTAAGGACAGAAATAATGCATTAATTAATCCATCTCAAGATGTGGTTCAAATCTGTCAAGAGGCAGAGAGAGTTTTTCAATCGTATAATGTATTTTTACCAAATATCAAAAATAAAATGATCAATGAAATTAAAAGAAATATTTATCAAAGAACCATATTTCAAGGATTGAATGATCATAGTGGACAACAATTATTCAACACACATAGGGATCAAGTTATAGCTTTAATAATTATTAAATTTCTAAACTTAAGATTCCACCATGCTGCTTCTATAAAAGAAAAAAAGAAATGTGGATCAATGCAGAAAAAATATACAAGACTTATATTGTTTCGAAATGAATAAAAACAGATTTTTTTTTTTTTTTTGATTACTTTTTTGTACCAAAGTTATTTAATGTTAATTATTTGTAATGTATTTAAATATTTCTGAAATAAAGTTACCTACTTTTAAAATGTCAAACCGCCTCTATATTTGGTCAAAATCAAATTATAATAAAAATATTGTTGGTTCTTATAGCCATTTGCCCATCTACTAAGTATCACGTATTCACTTCCTCTTGTAATAAGATATTCTATAAATATGCGAATAAACATATTTTCTGTTGTCAGAAATGACAACACTGCTGTGGTAATAACTGTGACCGCACTACCCAACCCCGCCAACCACTGATGCTCCGTCTATGCCGTTTTTGAGTATATGATCTAAGGCTACTACCAATCATAGAGTAATATACTCTATGCTACCAACTACCAAGATTTATAGATAATTATCTATAAAATAAATCTATTATCTATAAACCTTAACCAACTATAACAACGATGGGACGAGTAAAGTTCTCCCGAATTTGATTACTGGATGGCGACGGGTAGTGGTTACGGTTGAAACTGATAACTGGTGAGGTGGGTAATAACTCACAAATATGTTGTTGTAGATACTATTTTTAGAATAATTTAAACTAAACATTGGACTTTTTCAATGTTATCGTGTATTTTGTGTGCGCTACTGTAATATTTACTATTTTACTGGTATCTTATCACAAATTGTTGAATTAGAATTATTATATACTTATTGCACTAGTGCAGAATTAACGTTACTCGCGGTTACTCGTTAGTCATTTTTCTTGATAGTTTAAGTTATATAGTTGATCAGTGTTACATACTATATTCTTTAGTTCAATTTTAGTATTCTTTATATATGTAATTCTTTAGTTCTTATATATTGTACATACAGTTAAAACTAAGACCGTATCGGGGGGGGGGGGGGTCCAGTGTGTCTGGACCCCCTCAAATTTTCTTCAATATTTTACGAATATTTAAAATATTTATTTATTTTTAATACTAAAAATATTTTTAGTCAAAAATGACTTAAGCTCCAAATAATCATTGACTGCTTTTAATTTTACATCATAATATATGAAAATATGATATTAATTTTAATAAAAAGAGATTAAATCTTTTTCTGTCTTATTTTTAACCAAATGTCAAAAGTTAAAATTTAAATTTAATAAAATTACAATATACATGTTTTGGACCCTTCCCGAAAAAAATTTCTTAATGAGGCCTTGGTTAAAACAGACGTTTACGTGCTACTGTTTTATTTTTTTCAATGGGCAATTCTGAAAAAATACTTAAAAGCGGAAGTGCTAAAAGAAAAAAAAGGAGAAATATTTGCTTAGAAAGGAAGGTCAATACCCTAAGCAAAAAAAAATAAATTAAGTAAGTACTCGCATTAGTATAACTATGGGTGCCATACTGTGTAATAATTTTTTTTTATTATTTAATACATTATTTACTATAACAATATAGATGCTTATTAATTATTTTAATTATATAATGTTATGTATGAATATTAACTAAAATTACACTATATTTTATATAGGTATCTTTGTATCATTTTCACATTTGATAGCAATTAGCAGTATAAAATAAGTAGGATTTGTCAAATAAATATACTTAAAATATTTAAGACAAATTGTGTTCTGAATGTGTCTATTATATTTATAATTTTTTACATTATTTGAAGTATAAAACCCTAACTTAAACAGTTGTATAATTAGATGTACCTACTTAATTGATAATGTATGTTATAATATATTTATATTATAGGTATATTATGCATTTTTTAGATGCTAATATAACAGCCAATTTGTCAAATCATACTAAGCTAGAAGGTAAATTGATACATTAATTGTATTATTGTATTCAATTTTAAAATAATGTTAATAGTTAGTTAAATTAAAAAATATATATATATAATAATATAAAACATTAGGTGTATTATGTTTTAACTTAATAATTTTATAAATATACTTTCCAATTTTCATCTTTAGGTGACAATAATTTAAAAAAATGTAACAGTAGTGTTATTGAAAATGAAAAAGAAAATCTGAATAGTGATAATGGTAATTTCTAGTAATTTTTTTACCTAAACTATTTAAAAAATTAAAACTAATTTCTAGATGTCAATGCTTCAAAACAAGATAATGAAAAAAATCAAGTTAATTGAAGATGTTGAAAATGTTGATACCATGGAAATAGTTGAAACCTGTTCAAATGTTGATAATGGTACCTATATAATATATAGCTGAATTTGAATTCTATAATTTTAAACAATTACAACCTTTTTTTACAGAGGCTATTGGTATGTTTATAAAACCTAGAAGTATTAATGTTACAAGCTTTTGGTTATTTCATCCTTACCAACTAAAAACAAACATTCCATTCAGACCTTCAAAATTGTATAACTGTAAAGATGGAGATCATCGTAAGTGGATATTTTATTGTGTTAAGAAAAAAGCTTCATTTTGCAATAGAAGTCTTTATTATGGTGATGGTTCTGGATCATTTTCCAAAAGATTTTCTGTCTGAAGATATGTTTATGAGCTAGTCAGTGATCATGAAGAAACAATAACACACAAATTAAATGTTATTGCTTATTTGATAAAAAAAGCAATATTCCTTGGTGGATTCGCTTTTAACACACGGACTTGGTTTAATTAGAAAAATACAAGTTAAAAATAATCAAAATGTATTACTTTGTCTTATTGATATATTAAATTAATTGGAAAGCACGGACTAAGTTATAGAGGTAAAATAAATGAGGCTGCTTATTCACTTAATGATTCCTTGCTTAAATCACATTTAGATAAAGTTGTAAAAATAAGTTTAAAATGTCATAATGCTGTAGCCAAACAAGGATGAGGTCAAGATACTTTTTTATCAATAACTACAATTAATTATATTCTTGAAATCATTGCTAAAAATATAAAATTTATAATTTATAATGAAGTGAAAGATGCTGTAATATATTCTGTACAACTCGATACAACACAAGATATATCTATTACAGATCAATACTCAATAATATTAAGATATGTAAATGGTACATTTGTCTTTGAAAGATTAGTTGGTATGGTAAGGTGTAGCTGAAGTAAAGGCTCTTATTTTGTTGAGTTACTCTTACATGTTCTCAAAGATATGAATATAAACCCAAAATGTATATGAAACAAAACAAATGGAGCTGCAAATATGCAAGGAGTTTATAATGGATTTTCCACAAAAATGAGCAAAACAGCGGTTGAACAAATTTATATATGGTGTTATGCACATGTATCAAATTTAGTTATGAGTGATATTACAAGCAAAATTGTCCAATCTATTTCTTTGTTTGGTATCTTGTAAGGATGTGCAGTATTTATTCATGAGTCATATAAACATATGGACATATGGATAACCTAAAATTGCAACAAAAAAATATTTCCTATCGTTGAAACAAGATGGTGGTCCAAAGATGCAGCATAGACAAAGGTTTTTGGACATTTTAATAAACCCCAAAATGGATTGTATGTTGATCTTATAAATACATTGGATGAAATTGAAAACAATTTAGGTATAACTCCAGATGCTTGATTCAAGGCAAAAAATTAAAAGAAGGTTTGCTAAAATATGAAACTATAACCAAGATGTACTTACAAATTTTTAAAAAAAACAGCTCCTCTATCAAAATATTTACAAGGGCATGGAGTTAATATAATTGCAGCTTATCAAATGGTGAAACAAACTTTGAATGACTTGCAAGACTGTGCTCGCCAGTTTCAATGTATAAAAGAAGCAGCTAATACTTTTGTTGAATAAAGCAATAAAAAGTTTGATGAAATGGAGAATAATACTTTAGAAATTCTAAATGAGTTACCTCATAGTAGAATAAGAAAAAAAAAGACAATTTACTGACTATGAATCAATAGATGATCCTATTAAAGATCCATTACGTGCATTTAAAATCAATGTTTACAACCAAGTATTTGATATTGTTATTGAAAGTATTTCATCAAGATTTGAAAAATATGAGCAACTATGTGCCGATTTTCCATGTCTAGACCCAAACAATTTTCAACCAGATTTACCACTTCCAACAAATGCTTTAATAAAAGTATATGAAAAAATCAGAAATTTTATTCCGGACATAACTTATGATGATCTTAGAAATGAATATGTTGACTTTACTTTTAAATGGAGAGAGTTGAAAAAAACCATTGTTTGTGTGTATGATGAACTAAATAATCAAGTTACCAATGATAGTAATGATTCAGAAAATAATTATGTTATATTTATTTATTTTTTTTGTTATAGGACTCAAGAGTGATGATGATATTATAGTATATATGCATGTACCAATGCCAAGTATTGTGTAACATGCTGTTTTGAAGTGTTAGTGAAGTATAATTTATACGCAAATACATATCATGGCTTCCACTTTGCATATAAATTTATGCTTACTTTATCCATTACACAAGTAGAATGTGAACGTACATTTTCTAAATTAAAATTTGTAAAAAATTATTTAAGATATACAATAGGTCAGAATGTAATAGAGAATATGTTGTTAATGAATGTAGAGAAAGATATTCTCAAAAAAATTGATTCTGAACACATCATTAATAAATTAGGAACTAGGATCCCAGTATTTGGTAGAATGTTATTATTTTAAAATAAAAAACTAAATAATTTTTAAAATCTGTTTAATTATACTTTGTTGGGTTGTTTGTTATGCTTTGTTTTAATGTGATAATTAATAAAATTCATATAATAATGTACTTGAGAGCGACTTTTTTTTTTAAGTGGGGGCCCCTTTTTAAAATTTCCCGGTAGGCCAAAAATTGCTTATTCACCCATGATACTAGTCTATGATTTAACTATGATCTACATATGTATTACATTTTACTATACATAACATATGTTTTAGAATAGTTGAAGAAAGATTTCCGCATATATTATTTATTAATTAGTGAATTGACCATTTTCTAAGTAATACTACGTCCCGGCATCGTCGATATTAATGAATAAAAATTAAAAAATACACATTTCAATTCCAATTTCTGTTCCCCGAAAATAAAGACAAGCGTTGTATTTGTGTCGGATTAGTTCATAGTTTATTAATTACATTTTAATATTAATTTGAACCCCAGTGTTTGAGTTGAAACTGGGCCTAGTTTTTTCGGGTAAAAATCGGGTTCACACATTTGTCGGATTTTGATTTTCGGTTCAAACCCGATATCAAATTTTCCATGTGCACCCTGGGTTTCAAAATGGAATTGTAACTCATTTTGACTCCCTGATTAAAATCATAGAATGACGTAATAATTACTCTATGATTTAAATATAGTATTATTTAATCTATGACAATTTGAACTGCTGCCTGTTTTTAGAATTCGGAAAGTTAGATTTAAATATTATCACTACCACGGACTTATAATCATTATCTGTGATATTATATCACTACCATGATAACAAGGTTAGTTTTCGCGCCAATACGTGCTAAATTGTTTGTTGGTCGGTAACAATAATTGAGTTCGTTTTTGTGATCACCGTGCTTACTGTTTAAGCACTTGTTTACTACTCATGCTGAAATAATTACTGGTAATTATATATTAAACGAAACGTGTACTCATTATTGTTTGAATAATTAATGTAGAATAAACGTAAACAAAATTTATCTTTTTTTTTTTTTTAACAATAGTTGTAATAATTTGACGACCCGTCATGGATTCCAGTACGAGTAGCGAAATAGAACCGCAATCAAATGTATCGCCCAAGTCAAGGGGGAAAAAACGAAAAGCTTCCGATAGAACTCTTACAAATGTTACAGCTGACAATATAAAAAAAAAAGCACGGTGTAAGTATTGTCAACAGGCATGTCCAGAAAGTGTGAAAATACCTACTGATGCTGAGCCCGAGTGTATTGTATTAACCCATGAGATTTTGGCCAATATTTACACAGACAATTTTGATGCAATACAACACAACTTAACAAATTTCAGTATTTATGATGAAAACGGCCATATGTGTTCCATTGATTCAGGTATGATGGAAAGAAATATTCCGTTATATTTGACTGGCTATGTTAAACCAATTTATGATAATGGTCCAGGTGTAGAAAAAGGAATTGCTGCTACAGAATTAGGGCCAATATTAGAATGGTATCTATCATCATATGATGGAGGATCACAAGTTTTAATAGGGGTAACTACAGAATATGCTGATTATTTATTAAATGAACCGCATATCAGTTATAAAAAATATATGACTACAGTTATAGAAAAAATACATCTTAGCAGATTGGTTATTAAAAGTATTTTAAACAGTGAATATGATGATCCTTCTTATGAAGATGTCCTCAATTTTATAGTAAATTCTGTAAATCCAGCAACAGGTACTAACTTCACCGAAGAAGATCTACTTCAACACGCTCAATTTGTGCTTGATCAAGTGGTTGACTATGACTTAGGTGATACATATTATTTACCATTAGCTGAAACACAGTGCATTGAAACATTAACAGAATTATCAGGAGCTACTAAATCAATTAAAGTCCCATTCAGAAGATTAGAAAGAGTTGGACGAAGAAACCGAGGTGTAAAAGCTGATATTAGTCAGCGTGAGTTTAGTAAAGCCACAACCACAGAATTAGTAAAAGATGTATTTGAAAATATGTTTGCAGCTCAATTAGATGTTGATGATAAAGAAAATGAAACAACTATGAATAAACTTGTGAATACAATATTTGATGATGTTTGCAACACAACAGCTGTTGAAAAAATATCTAATGTAATTAATGTTAATGAAGGCCAAATTGTCTGGAATGATAAATCCCTATGTGAAAATATGTTTGTAGTTGTGAAAAATAAATGTTCAACAGTTCCATTAATTGGTCGCATAGAATATTTGTATAAAAAAAACTTGAAAGACAAAGCACACATAACATTATTTATGCATAGTTATGAAACTGTATTAGGAGAAGCTTCAGATCCTCAAGAAATATTTTCTCTCAAAAAGTGTATGAACATTGATCTTACTCATATAGTTAAAATATTAGATGTCACTCAAAAAATACCAAGAAAAGATTGGTTTAATCTTGGTGGTTCTAAGTTACAAGAACTTTTAGAACCTGTCAATCGAAATAATAAAAAATCATTTTTTTACCAGTTACAATATGATGACGAGTTTGGAAGGTTTGAGTACCCAGAAGATTCAAATAATGATAAAAATGATAAATATTGTAAAAATTGTGAAGATAATTTTTTAGAAAAAAAATTACAAACTCCAGAATTACTTGAGTTTATTGAAAAAGACATTGGTATAACATATTACTATAAATTAAAATTTCAAAATGAAGAATATAAAATTGGTAATTTTATTTATCTAAAACCTGGTATATTCTCGATAGCAGCAAGAAGTAATTTCACCGATTATAAATCATTACACTATCCAGCCTCAAATAAAAATAAAAATAATCAAATATTAAAAAATGTTGATGAAACTAAATATCCAGAATATTATCGTAAAACAATAGAAAACATTATGCGAGGCTCAAATGAAACTACACCTGATGCCTTTGAAATAGCTGAAATTTTAGCCATATATATTGTTGAGGGGGATAAGAAAAATGTTAAAATTATTGTAAGACGTATGTACAGAGCTGAACAAATCCCAATGGATGATAATTATAAAAATGCCGATATGAACATGTTATATTGGTCAGAAGAAGAGTTCAGAGTACAATATGACGATATTTACGGTAAATGTTATGTGGCTTTTATAACTAACATTCTAGATCCTTTATCTTGGTCTGCTGATGGCCCAGATCGATTTTATTTCTCTAAGAAGTATGATTTTTTAACTGGTACTGTTATTGAGGATAATCAACTTCCAAGTGCAGCTAAATTGACTGGAAAAGAAGTATATGTAAAGTATCAATATAAGTTTGTGGATGAAGATAAATTGCAGTATATACCATTTCACAAAAAAATCAAACCACTCAGAGGACTAGATATATTTGCTGGTTGTGGTGGGTTATCAAAGGGCTTGGAAGAGAGTGGTTTGATTACAAGTAAATGGGCAATAGAATGTGATGATAAAGCTGCTGCTGCATTTGAATTAAACAACCCAGAATCTATTGTATTTGTTGATGACTGTAACCATTTATTAAAATCAGCGATATCTGGTTGTATTACAAATAGTAAAAATCAAAAAATACCTCAAAAAGGAGAAGTAGACTTTATATGTGGAGGACCTCCTTGTCAAGGATTTAGTGGAATGAATCGGTTTAATTCTGGCCAATATTCATTATTTAAAAACTCTCTCATTGTTTCATTTTTATCATATATTGATTATTATCGTCCAAAATATTTTGTTATGGAAAACGTTAGAAATTTTGTTTCATTTAAGAGAAGTATGGTTCTTAAGTTAACTCTTCGATGCATAACACGAATGGGCTATCAGTGTACATTTGGTGTCCTTCAGGCTGGAAATTTTGGTGTTCCTCAAACCAGGAGAAGATTAATAATTATGGCAGCAGCACCTGGTGAACAATTACCACTTTACCCAGAGCCCATCCACGTATTCAATAGAAAAGGATCAAGTTTGACTGTTCAGGTCGGTGATAAAAAGTTCAAAACAAATTGCAAGTATGATGAATCAGCTCCAATGAGAACAGTTACTGTATATGATGCCTGGTCTGATTTACCTGAGATATCCAATGGAGCATGTGAAGAAGAACTACCTTATGTATCCAATCCTATAACACATTTGCAAAAAATACTTAGGTACCCAGATAATGGATTCTCAGATTCTATATTGACTGATCATATCTGCAAGGACATGTCACCTTTAGTACAAGCAAGAATGGAATTGATTCCTGTAGGCGAAGGGAGTGATTGGAGAGACCTTCCTAATATTGAAGTAAAACTCTCTGATGGAACTATGACAAATAAACTTTTGTATTCTTATGATGACATTAAAAATGGTAAAGGTTATAATGGTGCATTACGCGGTGTTTGCCAATGCGCTACTGGAAATAAATGCAATCCACAGGATCGTCAAAACAATACTATTATACCATGGTGTTTACCTCATACCGGTAATAGACATAATAACTGGGCAGGTTTATATGGTCGATTGGCTTGGACAGGTTTTTGCTCGACCACTATTACAAATCCTGAACCAATGGGTAAACAGGGTAGAGTTCTTCATCCTGAGCAACATCGTGTGGTCAGTGTCAGAGAGTGTGCTCGATCACAAGGTTTCAAAGATTCATACTTATTCTATGGTCCCATAATTAATAAACATCGACAAATTGGTAATGCTGTACCTCCACCAATGGGTACTGCAATCGGGCATGAAATAATTAAAGCTATTTACAAAAAGACTGCTTCTTTTAATAATATTAAAACTAACAAGTAAAAGTTTATATTGTGTAAAATTATGTGGTATTCAATAATTCATTTTTTAAATTTAATAACTAATGAATTTTTAATTCATTTAATCAAATGTTCTTATGTTTCACCATTATAATTTATAATAATTTATTTATATATATGTATGATAATATATTTATTATATATATGTATTTATAATATTTTTTTAAGTGTCTTTTAATAATTGTTTATTTTTAATTATTTTTCTCGTACTTATCATTATTTTAAGTCTTTATTTTACTCTTATAATTGTATGACAATTTTTTTTTTCTTTTTTTTTTGTGATTTTTATTTGATAATTGATTTATTAATGATTTTTTATTTTGTATAATATTTATTTACTTATATACATTCCAATACCCTTATTTATAATAAAATATTTTTAATTTTAAATTTTGTATCAAGTTATTAATTGTTTAAGACTATCTCAAATACCCTCAGAATATTGAATTCTGATCAATTTCAGTGGATTCATATCTAACCAAAAGTACATTTAATTTATTCTGTTAAAACTTATAATAAAAACTAATTTTTTTCTGGTAATAGATAGTACTAATTTTCACACCTGCACCTGATCTTAAATGGCTTAAACTGAAAATATTGAACCATTTTATTACATTCATAATTATCTGAAATTCAATCAAAAGAGATAACTTGTTATTTCAAAAATAAATAAAGTAATAAACTATCATAAAGTTGTTGAGGATCTGTGTATAACTATTGATACATAAATAAAAATGTTTCTAGGTTCTAAAAAAGCTATTGAAATACTGTACAGACAAGAGTACAATATTTATTATTATATAATATACCAAATATATTATTGTTCATTATTGTTTTATTTTTACAGCAAAGCAAACATATTACATTGTATTCTTTCCATAAGTATATAAAATCAGTTTGTATTTAATTGAAAAATATTTATTTGGTTTGTTTGAATAATTACAATATTTCGTGTGACTATCAATTCAAATATTGATCTTTGTCAGACGTGCATAAATTATAGATACATAGTACAAACTAGTAATGAACAAACATTAATAATATTATGCAATATTGATGCTAGTGGTGTTTCTCATTAACAATAATTAATAAAATTGAAAAAAATGTATTGGTGTATACATTTGAAATTATTAACAATACACAATTATAATATTAAATGACATTTTAATACATGAGTACAAAATGTAGAAAAATATTTAAAAGTTAATATGGATTAAATAAAAAAAAATTTATTTAATACACATACATTAGAAGCATTGTGTTTTCAACCACTATAAAATATGAAAAAAGTTTGGCACGTATATGAGACTACATTGAAATCGATAAAATTGACAGTAATTAAAGAAGAACATAATTTGTTTTAATATAATTATAAACTCAGTCAAGGTTTAACCAGTCGATTTTGGTGTATACCGTCGTTGTTACATTGAAAAAGCATCAAGCAGTAAAATAATATTTTTAATAACATAGAAAAATCATAATAAATAGTTATATATATGTATGCATATATAAATACATGTATGTATTTATTACATACCAATTGAAACATACATTTTCCACAAAGTAAAAATTATTATTGTCTTTAAACTAATTATTTACCTTTGACATACTCTTTTTAGTTTGCAATACATAATAAAATGTTATCATTAAGTACAAAATAAATACTTAAAATATTTACTCAATATTTAGCTATAAGAAGGTTATTTACTATTTTATACATAGTTATTATAAACTATGAATTTACATTTATATAACTTGTTTAGTATTTTAATTTTCATTTGTTAATTATTTATATTTTGATTTTATGGACAACAATTTTCAAATTATGTATGTAAAAATAAATAATTAATTAAACAATAATAAAATTTGCTTGATATTTGATGAAAAAGAGTACACTTCAGACTTAAAAAAATAACAAATATACAGGGTGATTTTCACTTGCACTTAAAAGCTATTAGTATTTAAAAAAAATGTAATAAATAAAATTTTTTTTAATCAAATCTGATCTTTCTTTTAAGATGATGTTTATTTTATAGTACATATTCTAAAGCAAAACAACTTACCGAAGAATTTAATTTACAAACATAAATTGTTTATTATGTAAGAAGTATTTAAATTTTTGAAAAGAGGAGGGAGCAATTTCCTTGAATATATCACTACACTAAATATTTTTATGTTTTTCACAATAAAAACTAGTAAATAATTACCTCATTAATCAACACAATTATATTTGCTTTAGAATATAAATAAAAAATAAAAGTTGCAATTTAAACAATTATTTAAAGAAAAGAATAAATAATAAAACTTAAACATTTCCTATATTATAAGTATTTAGAATAAAAAATCATTTTCTAAAACAAAAATCAATTGAGGAAATAAGTGTTATGAGAATCACCTTGTATAAAAACAAGTTATTTAGACCTTATTTAAAGATAAGGTCTCTCATAAACAAAATATAAGTGTCTTATTTTATACTCTGGAACACACATGTTGTGAATTAACAATTATGAAAAATTATTAAGTAATAATAAAAATAATAACTTTACTAAAATTTTAAGAAATGCCTTAGCAAATTAATTTAGTTCATAAGTCATGGATAAATGCAATCTTAAATGTCCATTTTGTTCGACTGTATTTTTGTAGATATAATTTACTTGATCATTTCCAAATATTTTTGTTTATGTTTGTTTAACATCTCAGTCACAGTGACAAGTTTTTTCAATGAAGGTTGAGTTTTACTAATATTTTGAAGTTCAGTTAAATGTGTTTTACAAATATGATGAAGAGTACCTAAATTACGAGCAGGATCACCTTTAATTTTCTCTCCCTCAGATTCTGGTTTTTCAGTTACATTGGACAACTGATCTAAAAACACAACCATCCTCTCTTTATTTTTTAGTATAAATGGATTGACCACTTCCATATAAGGCTCTTTACCACCAAACTCTACCAAATTGGCTAAGTTTTGCAAGCATTTCGCTACCATAATAAGTGATCTAGCTGCCATGGGTGGGGGTGGTTCAGAAATAAGATTGAATTGTCTAGGATTTAAAATTGCTGGACATAGGAGCCGTAAAAATATAAAACCAGATACTACTCTGGTCCGTACTAATCTTTCATGTGGCCACTTATTCATCACCATTCTCTGTAAACATCCACATATATACCGTAAAGTACGAGGACAAGCATCAGCTGACATAAATATGGACTGAGTGATTTCATCTAAGACTAATAATAGAAATTCAGCATTGTCACAAGCATCATCCGGAGATTCCATTTTGCACGGATTAAGTTCACATGACTGTTTACTTTCTAATAATTTAAACACAGTTTGTTGTATAGCAGATTTTAAGAAATCTGAACAAACTGACTTCATGTACAAATCCATTAAAGTTGTAGTTAATGATGCAGCTCTAAATAGTGTAGTAGTCTCATCTTCTTTCATAATCTCTACATCATTCAAACTTCTTAAGAGATCAGCTTCTTTTTTCTCGTGTCGAAAAATTCCCATTAGAGAAGTAGCTAAAGGCATGCGGTCCTGATGACAAATATCAGCTAGAGCTCGCACTGCTTCTAGATCAGAATCAAGAATTAGCTGCTTCATTGGTGAATATTCTTCAGTTGGCATGATTTGATCATGTAAGTATCTAGTACGTAACCGTAAAGAACCCCATTCACCAATTGGTGTTATACCACTTAAGGGATACCAATCTTCAACTTCCGCTCCATTATTTAACTTTAATGTACTCAATTCAACTGTTAAATCAGCTACTTCAGTATCTTTAGATCGTTTTCCTTTGTTGTAAATACTAACAGTGAATGACAATACATCAGAAGGTACATCGTCCAAAATGAATTCTTCATCAAATACAGGATCAGGTCCACTTTTAGCTCGAGTCCTACCTACTCTCACTTGATTAAGAGAAATAATACAAAATGGATTTGGCACAAGTTTGAATGGCAAACGATGTGCATCCAAAATATGTAAATGTAGACAACGCAATTCACGTAGTTTTTGTGCTTTAGGAACTATTGACAATTGAGTGCTACAGTACATTCTCAGAGCAGAAACCCAATCTTGAAATAAATCTTCTACTGTAATAGATAAATATGTTATAGTGGCTATACATGGTAAGGCTTTCTCTACTAACTGAAAACAATTAGGCCTATCAAACACACTTTCGTGTACTGGGTATAGATAAGCACAGCTCAGCTCTATCAAACCTTTAGGTTTAGTTCTTTTAGGGTTATCATAGAAACATAAATGACTATCTCCTTCTTCAACTAACAAAACAAAGTACAATGACTTCCATTTCTTATTTTTATCATTTTTCTTATACATATACCCTTGCATTTTAATTCCTTTTTCTTTTTTAAGCCCAACTTGTTCTCGACACTCCCTAAGAGTTGCATATATTTTTTCAGCTTGCTGTACTTCTTTTTGTTTAATTTGCAGTTCTAATAATTCATTTGAGTTACGACATACAGGCATCACAAGGGTATGCCCTTCAACTATCTGTTCCTTGCGATATCTATTTATGACAGCATCTAAACATTCAAATGTACGACCACCCATTAAATAGCGTACTCCTTTCTTCTCAATTCGAAACCTTTGAATCTGATTGTTGACATGAAAAAACAACGAATAATCTCCTGGTGAATTATCACTTGGTCTTACTAAGAAACTCCCAGGACCAGTTTTAACCAACATGTCAACAGCTTCATTTTTTGTAACACAAGGATGAAACCAATCAAAAACGGTATTTGGGTCAATATTCTCGTCTAAATTATCAACCTGAAATTATAAGTGTTCTATTATTTAAGATTTAAATAGATTATTTTATGAATTTAATATTTAACCATGAAAAAAAAGTAATATAATTACAATAAGTAAAAAATAACATTTAATATTAAATATCAGTTAAAACCTATTTAATTTATTGATAAAATTAATATAGTAATGTATTACAACTTTTAAACTTAAATAAACCCTATAACTTTATCATTGACACTGAAAAAAAAACTAGTGAAAAGTTCTAATATTGGAGACACTATTATATTTTGCTACATTCAAGTTCATACCTAATATCTACTGCAAAATATATATTTATTTAATATCTATTTTTAAAAATAAAATTTTTAACTATACAATAAAGCTCATAGAATATATAGAAATTAAACTGAAATATTTTAATAAACAAAAAAACATTGTTATTTCAACTAAGCAAATTAAATTTTCTACTTTTATACTAAAAAATAATAAAAATTTTAACTTACTAAGTCTCTAAAAATCATTCCTTGTTCTCCTGTTCTATGAGCAGTAACCCATAACCAACCATCTCCCATATCATTATGTACAAAGAATATGTCACCTTTTTGAAATGTTAGTTCATCTGTATCTGGCATTTTAGTATAAGGTAAAATTGCTACAACCCGCTGTTTATCATTTACTGGTTCAGGTGGTGCTACTGGATGTAACAGCCTTTCTCTCTTCAACAAGTCTGAACAATTTGTGTAATAGCCAATCAAATCAGATAGACTGTCAAATTGTCGGCCTCCTATGTAGAAATCTCCACATACCGCAGTCACTCTAAAATGATTAATACCAGTACGTCCCAGGTACGATAGCACATATGACCCTGGCTTACGATCGCTTTCACGCACCAAATAACTACCAGTTTCCGACTTTAACCACAATCTTTCCTCTGCTGCATATCGACTCAATCGACCATGGTACCAATGATTCTCAGGAGGTGCTTGTAATAACGACACATTTGATCCATCCGGTTCATCATGTTCCAAGAATGGATCAAAATCTTGATCAAGCATGTCCTGGCTGTCTTCACTGTTGAGACTGAGTGTAGTCTGCACCTTGTCGCGTAACATCATACCAGGACCACCTCTTATGAACTCGGCCATGGTTTTCTTTAAGAAGTCAATTTTGAACAGACTCCAAACTAACTCATAATTTCATTGTACAACAATTTTCAAAGGGTTTATTAGCTGGCGACGGACCACAACACAGCAGCAGCAATAGTTCACGAATATGGGTTTACTACATTAACAGTGTACAACTAATGATGAACAATACTAAAAACATTAGTTTTTATTAATAATTGATTAAATAAAAAATAGTTCACTGATAACGACATTCATTATTATTATTTGAGATAACAGAACGTTATCAAAACTATATAGTTTTGGTGTTTCGTGGTTAAGAGAAACATTTTGACCATGATTTAAGCTGTAACCATTGTTACCACCGGGGATAATTTACTCAACGATGCGATTTTACCGGCTTATCGTATATCCTGATAAAAACGTTTACAAAACACAAAGTTTTAAAATGAACAACAATCATTCGAATGTTACTCTTTTCATCTAATATGGTTGTCGTGTAACACAACATAAACACTTAAGACTGAGGCAGCAACAGTTATACAAATCGAAAATGGATACTAATATAGAACAATATCCACCAGTGGTAAGTGAACAAATATAGTTTTGTTAATTAGTAAATTTTGTAAATTTAGTTCTATACAAATTGTATTATATTATGTCGTTATTTGATGTATTGCAGAATTGGGGCAATGAAAAACTAGAAGAAGCACAGGACTCAGTTAATGATAATCCTTGGGATGTTGAATCTTGGGCAATATTATTGCGCGAAGCACAGACACGATGGATAAATGATGTACGATCCTTCTTTGAAAAACTTGTTACAACCTTCCCAACTTCTGGTCGTTACTGGAAGTATTATATTGAAATGGAAGTATGTTAAAATTAATATATATTATATAATGTTGAGTTTAGTCTGGTACAAAATATTTCTTTACCTAGGTCTCAAAATATCTTGCTATACAAGTTCTTTTTACATATTTAAATAATTTTTTAATATGTTAGGAATAAGTAATAAGTACCTATATTAAAATTGAAACTCTTGAAATTAATCCTATAAATTATATATTGTTAATGTACTAATTTTTGTTATTCCAAGTTGTAAGAGATTTTAAAACTTTTTTGTAAAATATGTTAATATGATTTTAAAGTATTTCAGGTTAATTAGATTATAAAATTTGAACAGTACATTATAATTATTAAATACTTAAAGAAATGTATTAGATTTATGTTAATATAACTAGCTACTATTATAATAATAATGATACCTTTTGATATTTAGATGCGTGGTCGGAATTTTGAAAATGTTGAAAAGGTATAGTGATAATAAATTATATTTAAAATACAAATGGTAATTTAATTTTAATTTTAATATTTATTCATTAGCTTTTTCAACGATGCCTTGTGAAAGTACTGAATATTGAATTATGGAAACTTTACCTTGCTTATGTGAAAGAAACTAAAGCACTGTTACCAACTTACAAGTAAATATTATTAAATCAAATTAAATATTAAATTTAATAACTTATTTACATCAACATTATAGAGAAAAAATGGCTCAAGCTTATGATTTTGCCTTGGAGAAAATTGGTATGGATATACATTCACATAACATTTGGCAAGATTATATTACATTTTTAAGTAGTGTTGAAGCTGTTGGTTCATATGCCGAAAACCAAAAGATTACAGCAATCCGAAAAGTGATTGGATTTTACCTTTATTTTATTGTTTTGACAGTATTGTTTTAGTAGCTTGTATTTTAGGTGTATCAACGTGGTGTTGTAAATCCCATGATTAATATTGAATTGCTATGGAAAGAATACTTGGCTTTTGAGCAGAGTATTAATATTATGATTGCTGATAAAATGATGATAGAACGAAGTAGAGATTATATGAATGCTAGGAGAGTTACTAAAGAATATGAAGTAGTTATAAGAGGATTAAATAAAAATTATCCTAGTGTACCACCAACTGGAAGCCTTGATGAGATGAAACAAGTTAGTATTTTATTTTTATGGTATTAAAGATTTTATACTCATTTATGAACTTATTAATCCTCATAGGTAGAGCTGTGGAAAAAATATATCACTTGGGAAAAAGCAAACCCTTTAAATACTGAAGATACTGCATTAATAACAAGACGAGTTATGTTTGCTTTTGATCAAGCCCTTTTATGCATGACTCATCATCCTGACTTTTGGTATGAAGCTGCGCAATTTTTAGATGGAAGTTCTAAAATCCTTTTAGAAAAAGGAGTAAGTATCTGTCTATAGTTACCATGTATCTGTTAATTTTTTTTTTTTTTTTAATTTAGGATATATCAGCAGCTAAACAATATAGTGACGAAGCAGCTAATGTTTATGAAAGAGCCATCGGTACTGTATTAAATACAAGTATGTTATTACGTTTTGCTTATGCTGATTTTGAAGAAGGGAGAATGAATTATGATAAAGTTCATAGTATTTACAAAAGTTATCTAGAAAATGAAATTACTACTGATCCAACGCTGGTATAAATATTAAAATCATCGTTTTATTGTGTATTCAGTTTACTGTATATTTTTGTTTACAGACATATGTACAATATATGAAATTTGCTCGTCGTGCAGAAGGAATTAAATCTGCAAGAGCTGTTTTCAAAAAAGCTAGAGAAGACTCTAGATCTAAATATCATGTTTATGTCTCAGCTGCTTTAATGGAGTATTATTGTAGTAAAGATAAGAATATTGCCTTTCGTATTTTTGAACTCGGCTTAAAAAAATATTGTGATAACCCTCAGTATATTATTAGTTATATAGATTATCTTTCTCATCTAAATGGTATGAAATTCATCGATGTTTTAATGTATTAAAATATTCATTAATCTGACTATTTTTCTAGAGGATAATAATACAAGAGTATTATTTGAAAGAGTTTTATCAAATACAAGTTTAGAACCAGAAAAATCTGTGTAATTATTATAGTTTAAAATTAATTACTTATTTATAAATATTAATTTTATAAACTGGTTTGTTTAGTGAAATATGGAATCGGTTCCTTGAGTTTGAATCAAACATAGGTGATTTATCAAGCATACTGAAAGTAGAAAAACGAAGGTCAGCTGTCCTTGGAAAGGTAATTGGTAAGAATTAACAAATATTCAATTGTATTATTAATTTTAATTTTATATTTAGCTAGTCGAGTTTGAAGGCAAAGAAACTGCTCAACTTGTTGATAGATACAGATTTTTAGATCTTTTTCCGTGTACAAGTCCAGAGTTGAAATCTGTTGGTTATAACGAAGTTACCATTACATCCTCTAAGACCATGCATAATTCTACTCAAAGGTCTGCTATTATTGATGGGTTAGACGATTTAGATAATCGACCTAATGAAAAAAGACTGCCCTTGCCAGATGTTTCTCAAATGATCCCTTATAAACCTAAATTGAATGCTTTTCCAGGCGAACATATCGTACCAGGTAAAGTAAAAGTAATCAATCATTTATTTTCAATATGTCACTAATAATATTTAACAGGGGGAACTTTTCCACCACCACCTCCTGCTTGTCAATTAATGCAAGTACTACCACCTCCTGGTTGTTTTCATGGCCCATTTGTATCTGTGGAAATGCTTATGGACATTTTTCTCAGACTCATTCTTCCTGACAAGGGTAAGTTATTCAATTAATTAAAATTCTAAAATAAATATTTATCTACATGTATATGTATAATTTTATTACCTATACCAATATTAATATTTTACCAAACTGTATAATAGTATCTCATTGTAATATGTATATTTTCAATCAATCATTAATATCATTTATTTTTTCTATATCTTGTATGTAGTTAACACTCTGCTTCTATAATTAATATACATTTAAATTCAATTTTCTTAATTCATTATTTTCTAACTTAATAATTTCAAACAAAATTATTAATATAATTTATTATAGTTATAGTGTTATAGTAATTATAAATAAACTTTTTTTATGAATAATCTTTTGATATATTCACTTAAATTAAATAATAATCAACAAATTAAATAAATAATAAAAATATAAATATTTGTTTAAAAAAAAAATTGATTTATTTCGTGTTCAAAATATTAAATTTAGTTATGGGAAACATTATTTGCTGGAAATCTTATTTTTCATTTTTTTTATTAAAACTAGTAATTACTAGTTAAACATTGTGATTTTTTTAAACCTGCCACTACTAACATAGTTTTAGATAATTAACTAATTACTAATAAGAATTGTTTTATTAATATACAACTAGTATACCTATTGCGAAAATTCACAATAGATAATTTATTTATATAATAAAAAGTAAAGGTACAATCGAATCAATACATAAACACATTTTAACTAATCATAAATGAGTATCATATCAAAAATTGAAAGACATATTGAAATGACAGAGAGTGTTTATTAAAATATATTTTCTACAGCATTAGGATAGACTATGTATGAGAGAGTGTAATTATTTCATAAAATTATTTTACAGTGCTTCCTTCCAGACAATATTAGTTAATATAAGTAATAATATTAGTATTGTTTGTAAATTGTTTGTTGTTATATCACTAGGTAAGAGCCAATGAGAATGCAATATTTGGAAAAAATTGAAAATAAAGTTGATTGTGCACGCATAACTTTCTTCAAACTCAACAAGTTTAAACAGTTAATAGTTCAAAAGAAAAAGCATGATCCACTGAGTGTTCTTAGACTCTTGTGTCAACAGCCTACGTTAATTAGAACTATAATTATTGAGGTTTGAGTGAAGAAAAATACTGAAAAATCTTGAAAAAATTGAATGTAAAGTTGATTGTGCACGCACAAAATTCTTCAAATTCAACGAATTTAAACAGATGTAGCTCAAAAGAAAGAGTTTGATCCACTGAGTGTTCTGAGAGTGAGACGATTAAGATCCATTCATTAATAGAAGATCTATGAGAATTCGAATTACTTGAGTGAATGTATCTCATAAAAAATGTACTGGGAAGAATTGCGTTGATGGGAGTTGAGTAAATTTCAATGATTGATGACATATCCATGTCTACTTTTCATTTAAAAAAAAAAATGAAGAAAATCGGCCAGATAGAACGGCTAGACGGACTGAATTTAGTTTTCATACATTTTTTTATTAATATACAATTTGTTATTTTATCTAAGTATATATAATCATGTGTGTATGTATATACATGTAAATATAAATAATTTTGTTACATAATCATTTTAATCATTGAAATATCAAGCTTATAAATAGATATATAGAACAAAATTATTTTTTATTTATGTCTTAAAATATAAATCTTAAAATAACGCGAAGTTGCCACCAGAGTAATTTGTTTCGAATTAGAAGATTAAAAATTAATTCATCAAGTATAAATAAAGTACTATTTATATATTTAAATATTTTCCAAGTATAAGATTATAGAAATTTACTTAATTTTCAAATATTCAGTTGGTCTACAGTATTAAACAAAAAGTAGAAATTCAAATAAATATTTAGTACATAGTTATTAGTATTACTTGAAATTATTATTTATTATTTAACATATAAATAAAATTCTTAAATGTATTAAAAATTATAATTTAAATTTACTATTTAAACTTGAAGAAAATAAACTTGTTGATTTCATAAAATAATTACATATATTTAATTAAAGTTTTTCAGTTATTTTAATGATAAAAAAGAAAATGGTTTATTTTCATAAATTATTGTATTAAATATAGAAGTATAAACTTTAATTACTTTATGGATTAAATAAAAACTAACATACTAATAATCCTTTGCAGCTATGCAATTTAATTAACAATGAAACCTAAATTATTCAATAATGTCATGTCACTATTATGTAAACTTATTTATATTATACTTATGTTGTAGTACCAATGCCAAAAGCTGAAAATGGATGTGATGTCAAACTATTTGATACTGCTGTGTCCGTGCAATGGGCCAATGAAGATACAACACATGGTAGTTCTAGTAAGAAGAAGCGCAAAATAGCAGGATTGTCTGGCAAAGGTGATGACAGTGATGATGATATAAATCTAGTGCCACCTCAATTTGATATTTATCGTGCTAGACAACAAAAACGTGTGACAAAATAATCTTTTAAAAATATTAAAAAGATTATTTTTAACAAATGTAAATAGTTATTTTAATTAAATAATTATTTTTACCATATACATTAAGAAACTACACTAAATGTGTATGTAATGTGTAATATACATTGAATTGGTAAAAAAAAATTGTTTATTTCCATGAATAAACATTTTATATTTTTAATTAATTATTCATTCTATTTACTAAACTATTGTGAGTGATATGTGTACTGATAAATCTTTCTTGGTTTAAATTTGCTATTTTACACCTTAAGTGATTAATGTGAAATTAATTAAAGAAATGAATGTGAATTAAATTTCACAAATTTATTTTATATTTTTTAGTACCAGCATTGCATTATATAAAGATAAATTAATCAAAAATAAATAAAAAAAAAAGATTACTTAATCTTAGTTTTTTCAACATTAATTTGTAACTTTATTGTGTATAGTGCTATGATATATAGTTATCTTGTTTCTTCTAGTAATTAATCTATATCTTAGAATTTCTCCTTCAAAAGCTAGTTAAAATATGACTAATTTGTTAATTGTTCATTTAAAGGCTTTTTTATTTTGATAATTTAATTTATTTCCACATTATTAAAAGAAAATTGTATATGTTTAAATAACAATTAGAGAAACTAAACAGAAAGAAAAAAGTAGTAAGTTAAATATATTTTAATATTTAAATTGAATATAGTTTCATCAGGGATCAGCTCTAAACCCTTATTTGTTCTCTGTGATAATGAATGAAATTATAAGAGGCATACAGGGTGAGGTACCATAGTGTATGATGTTTGCTGATAATATAGTCTTAGTAGGAGAAAATCTGGAAGTAGTAATAGGTTGGATGAAAGAGGTTAGCTCTTGAAGGAAAGGAATTGAGAATTAGAAGAAATAAAAGAGAGTATATAGAATAAGGAACGAAAATGTGAGAGGTAGTGTTGGTGTAGCATCTATAGTGGACAAGATGAAGAAAACAGACTGAGATAGTTTGGCATATGATGAGACAGGAAGAAATAAATGTAGTAAATGTTGTTATGAAAGTGATTGTTGAAAGGAAAAGAGGAAGAGGAAGACCAAAAAAGAGATGGTTTGATACTATTGAGAATGATATGAAGGGCTGTTAGTGTGTGCGTAGGGGATGTAGAAAATCAAGACGAGTGGAGGCTTAGAACAAGGTTGGCTGAGTAGTTGAACAAGTAGTTGAGAAAAAAGCAAAAAAGGACTTCTCAGCAAAGAAGAAAAAGAAGAAATTTAGTATAGTTTATGAGGTAAATTCTAAATAAATTAATCATTTATTAATAAATTTAAATTTCTTAATTCCACAAAAATCGCCATGTACTATGTGATAATCATATATATAAATAATATTAGTTTATTTTTTTGCAATTTAAATTGATGTGTCTTATGTTAGATGTAAGAATATACTTTTGCATAGTATGATTTGTTTTGGTATGTTTGTATATAATGAAGCACACTGGAGGGTTCAATGGTAGCAGTTGTTATCCTTGATTTTTTGGTAATAAATCCCTGGTCTCGAAATATCTATATCATAATTCTACTAAATATAAAAATAATAAAAATAAATTAATGAATAATATAATCATTAGTCTATTAGATTATATAGAAGTAATTGAAAAAATATACTAATGAGCAGTCACGGATCTAAATATTAAAAAGGGGGGGGGACTAGTAAAATGAGGTATTGCCATAATTTGTTGCGGAAGTCGATTTGTACAGTCTTTCTTACGTCTAATTTTTTAAATATTTTAAGTTCCTAAATCCAATATGGATTTACCTAATGTCTAAGGGGAGGGCTTCAGTCCCCTGAGATCCCCCTTGTATCCGCGTCTGATAATGAGTATTTCATCATCCACAATGTCTCAAACATTTGAAGACATTTGCTAATAACAACAGTCTATTAGAAAATTATTTTTATATTTATTTCTATTTAGTCATAAAATTGTGTAACTAAGTCCTAGTGTAAATAAATTTAATTATTAAGCCTTACAATAATAATAATTATATATGTTATTGCATTAATTGCATGTGTGGTAAAAATGTATATTATAAATTTTTAAATATAATTATATTTAATAATTAATTGAGAACCTATATATTATTAAAATTAATATTAAATATTTTTATATTAAATTGAAGATTAAATAAAAAAAAAAAATTGTAATATCTTATTTCACATGTTATTAATATTATAGTTAAAATTATTAACAAGGTTATATAATTTTATTTAAGGGGATATGAGGCCAAAGTCAAAGCTGGTCTGATTTTGAAAGTGTCTTTGGTAGGTGGGTGGTTTTTTTTCAATTCAATATGCTACCCTTGTTTATTTTTAAGTTTGCCCCACTGCTTGCAGTGCTGGATGAAGGGCCGATGCCGCTCTGAAGCAAATAATGTTTGCCTCTCTCTCCTCCTCAAAGAAATAAGGTTTAAGTGAAACAAAAAAAAAAAAAAAATACATGGTTTCTATGTACAAATTAAAAAAAATAAAATGCTATTATAAAATATCGGTACATAATATAATAATAAATCTATTTAAACTAAAAAGTATAAATAGGTAAATATTTTTTTTTTGTATTAATGACGATTTTTTTGAAGCAATTTTATTTATACCGCCCCACTACATTTGCCGCCCTAGACCTAATGCTCCTTTTGCACTTAGGTCAATCCGGCTCTGACTGCTTGAGCAACAAAATTGACGAATTAAAACTTGCAGTATATTATACGATATACTGACATGCATAGGTGTGTTTACGGGAGAGGCACTGCCCTCCCCCTTCCCCCGGACGAAATGTGCCACTAACAAAATCATGCCAGAATAAAAAAAGTCATGCGATCTGTACTTATTACCTTGGTACCGACAGTTTCTGTACAGTAGTACAATGTTTGTGTTTTTATTTGAGTTTTAAATGTATTTTTATTATTCATGTCTGAAAAAATAAATAAATAAATAAGTCTCAAGATTTAAAAATTTGTTGTGCACCTCGGCCACCAAAGTCTGAATACGCCTATGCTGACATGTGTGTTATATTTTCCATTAATTATTATTTTTTTTTTCACTTACATAGTGGAGCGCAAGATTGCCTATATAAAAACCCCAAAAATTATAATTCTAAATTAGGTATTGAAAAAAAAGTAAGAAATAGATATGAGTTCTTTATCCCGCATAAAATTGATGTTCTAAATAAACATGACTTTGAGAGGTTTTCTAATTTCGAAAAATTAATATGAGTTATGTATATACAAGGTATATTACTCTCTGAATCAAATGTACCGATTTGGAGTCCTTGAGCCTTAAGTTAATGAAGATGAAAAACGAATTTACTTCGATATTTAAATACATTTATATGAGATCCCTTTCAAATAATGAAATAATGTATTATTTTTATTATTGTTTTTACTCTTACACTTCCTAGGACCTATAGATATTTGTTTAGATGAATAAGGGACGTTGGAAATTCTGTTAGATCCAAATTTAATATATATATAAGTTATAAAATACTTCATATAAATTCCACAGGAGTCAGTATATAACCTAAAATATCTGCCAACATTAAACCCGTATAGTTTTAATAATTGTTATTTATTGGTTTGATTTTGTCGACTAAGTCTTATGGCTTTAAAGTTTGAAAATGAATCAATCGCGCATGTTTGCCACGAATTTGTACAGCAAATTAGCATAATAATAGCGTTTGAGTATTTGATGCAGGCTAAGACGCAAATATTCGTATTTTTCGTCGCGGTTCTTAGGAATTCGTATTATGAAAACTTTAAAAATTATTGAATGCATTGGCTTATTAATAAGTAAAGTGTAAGACTTTTGTGTTTTCGTGAAATTTTCAATAGGTGAATAATAATATAATAATATAACTAAAATAATATTTTACGGAACATAATAATAAGTAAAATACTGCATTGAACAAATTTTAACCATATTAATAATATTATGAACGGTAGTTCTTTTCAAAACGCACCATTTCTGGCATTATTGCATTTTACTTAAGAAAATTAATATTTTAAATAAACATTTGATTAAAAAAACATTGATAACATTTTAGCTACCCATGCACTTTTGAAAATGAATTTAATTTTAAATAATATACTCAAAGAATAAAATAGGTACCACCTATGTCACTGTCACTGTAAAAATTACATTTTTTGGGGGGCTTGGATATACTAAGTGACATATGTGCATATAATCATGGTTATTGAATATCGCTAAGTTGTAGTCTTATGCTCACATTTATCAATCTTTTATAGTCAGTAGCATATTTGAGGGAAGAGCAAAGGGGCCTAACCTTCAATAGTTTTAAGCCTCAGCTAAGGCCATTCCTTTGATAATAGGTAAATTATTTAAATATAAAAATTTAAAACAGTTCATACATAGGAGTATAAATATAATAATATTATATATAAAAAACAAAATAGTTAAATAAAAACAATAAATAACCTGTATGCACCATTCCTTGGTAAAAGATAAATTATTTAAATGTGGAAAAAAGGATAACAGTTCCATACATAGGAATATAAATATAACAATCAAATTTTTTTTCCTAGAAAAATCACAACTCGATAAATTAATAAAATGTACTTTTTTATGAACAATAATTAAATATATTCAGAAATATGAAAAAAGGCTAAATTATTTTTCTCTAAATTATATTCTCTAATGTCCAAAATATGCTAAAATATGCAAAATAAATGTTTTCCTACAAACTCTAGGAAGGATAAATCGTCCACATTTAGATCCTAGTAAACAGTGGTGGATTTAGCGTGTTGGCGCCCCTAGGCTTAATCACTCTGCCCTCCCTATCACTTTACTAAGGAACCAAAAATATTTGGTCTAATCCCTTCTCTTCAAAATTTATTCAGTTTTTTTATCAAAAAAAATATAAAATATTAAATCTTTAAAATAGAAAACTTCTAAAAATAAAATATTGCATGTCTATTATTTTACTTCAGTTACCATTATTACTAGTACAAATAAACAATGTTTATACAGTCACATAACGGAAATATAAATAGCCAGATATGAAAATACCTATACTCGGATAGTTGGATGTTCCCAACAAGTACATAGGTACTAATAAGTTATTAATAATAACTATTAAGTAACTGTTA